AGGAAATTAGAGCTGGGGAAGAGATCAAGATCACGGAACTGAGCCCTGGGAAAGATCTTATTAGAAATTACTGGGATTGAGGCCCAGACACTGTCCTCACCCAGGGCGCTTGTGGAGGGGAGGAAGGGGAAGGCGTGATGTGAGTGTGCTTTTTCCTTGTCAGCTGGGGAAACTGAGGCTGGGACAGGGCCTGGTTGGAATTCTGCCTTCCCTCCCAGGTATCGCCCTGATTTCTGGAGTGCGTGGGAGCACACTGAGTCTCAGAAGGGGGCAGGACCTCCCCTGGCTCATGTGGGGCTTTGGTGGGCATGAGGATGACGTGGTTGGTGCTCCAGGCTGGCACATCTGTAGGTATGAGTGGGGCACAGACAGGACTCAGCCCCGGCTTGTGCCTTGCCTGCACCCGTGTGCAGTGAACATCCAGCATGGTGGTCAAGGAGGCTTGGCTCTGGCCTGGGCTCGAAGGCCAGTGTATACAAACAGGGGCAGTAGCAGAGAAGGAAGGCCCTGTGGCCAACAGAGGCCAGGCCCTGGCTTAACCTAGATCTCTTCTTGTTCGTTCTTCTGGAGCTCTTGGGAAGCTGGTTGGTCTCATCCTGACCCGTACAGTAGGAGAACTGTCCTTGGCTTCCTCTGTGTCCTGCTGCCTGCCCCTCACCCGGGCAGATTTTGAGCCTGGGCACCTGACCATCTTCCAGGGGCCACAGCAGTCGCCCTTGGGTAAGGAATAGTAAGGACAGTTAATGTCACCATGAGATAGGACATAACCCCTTGTATGAACCTTCTCCATCCTTGGGAGATGGGGAATCAGATGCCCCCGGCTTCACTGGCATGCGTATTCACTGTGTGACTCTGGCAAATTGCTAAACCTATCTCTGCCTCCATTTCTGCATCTGTAAAAGGAGTCTTTCCAGGTAGCTTAAAAAGGACACCACAGATTGAGTGGCATTTAGTTAAGGTGGCTCTTTCTCCAGGGCAGGGGCAAAGTGGTAGAGTCTGAGGGGGCAAAAGGGTGGGAATCCGGGAGCTGAGAGCTTAGTATGCCTTTGGGATCTACAGTTGGATGTCAGCAGGGAGCCCAGTGCTGCCTTGCACCCTCCTCTGGCTGGGAGGGAGGCTGCAGTGTGCATGTCTCCAGGATGTGAGTGGGGGGCTGTGGGGCTGCAGGGGACTTCTGAGAGCCCCTCTTCAGCTTTACAGTGGTCATTCAGCATGGCACATAGGAGGAATCTGGGGCCTGGGGACCCCAAATGGCAGCTCTGCTCTGGATGGGCTCTGTGACCTCAGCTCTGCACCGTTTCCCTTACCCTTCGTGTACTGTAGCTGCCTGTTGCCCAAGGGGTGGCGTGAAGTGTGAATGTCTCAAAGGCACAACTCTTCTGGAAGACATTTAATGTGTCCTTCAGAGTTCAGAAAACTTTAGAATTTGCATTTTTCATATTTTGTAAAGAATTTTATAGGCCAATACAGAGATGGGGCTTCTTTTGTCACATCGGGGCAGCTGATGATTGGGGCGCTTGTGGCTCTGTGACACAGTGCCTGGAGCTGAGGAGGGTGGCCTGTCCGGGAGCCCAAATCTCCCTTTTCTACTCTCCTTCCTTCGGCTCCATAGGCTCTTGCTGTGGCCCTTGGTCTCCAAGGCATTTCTAGCTCTGATGTCCTATGACCTTCAGATTCTGTGACCAGTGGTGACAGAGGAAAGCCTCCGTGCCACGTCAGGAGATGGGCCAGCCAGGCCTGGTGGCACATGCTTGTAATTCTAGCCTCCAGCCTCCAGCATGGGCATTTTGCAGCTGAGGAAATGGAGGAGTGGAGAGGGCAGTGCCAGGCTCCCCAGGCCATAAGCCCTTTCCTGTACACACCCACTGGTCTCTCTGCCTCTGCTTGGTGCTGCTGGCCCTGCACCAACACCAGAGCCCACAGTGCTGCCTGTTTCTTCAGCTGATTGTTGAGCAAGGGGTTGGGAGGGAGGAGCCAAGGAGCTCTCTGTGTGCAAAGGGGAGGGTGTGAATTGGACATAAATGTGCTGCTAAAAAGTCAGGGGAGGGGGGTGAGCTGGCACAGGATAGCGGGGGCTGGGTTCCCAGGTCACAGGACTACTCCACAGCAACTCCCACCAATCTCCAGTGTGCACCTGATGTCTGCTAGTGTCAGACACAGGTGCAGGCACAGGGTGGGGCTCCCAGGCTGAGCAACACCTCTGGAGAGCCGGCATCCTGCGAGGACTGTGAGGTGAGAGGCTGCCCAAGGCCCCTCCAAGGGGCAGAGAAGGCAGGTTTGGGAAGGGAATGGGAGATGCTAACATTAGGAGGATATGTTAGGACTCACCCGTTGATGGATTGATTGGTTCATTCATTCTGATGCTTACTGTTTGCCAGGCTGTGGGGATACAAAACCCAGGCTATGTTCTTGTCCCACAAACTCTCCCACATGTGGGTGGGGAAGGAAACATCGGCTGGGTAACACATCTGCAATGGGGTCTTTATAGTACCATTAGAGACACCTCTAGAGTTAGAGTTTGACATTAAACAGGAGGATGATGGTTAGGTAGCAGAAAGGACTTCCTGATGGGGCGAAGTTATAATATAGAGGACCCTCATAGGCTTGGAGAGAGGGATGGGGAATTTTGGAGGCAGAGTTCTTCCCAGTGGACCCCACAAAGAGCCCTTGGCCTGTTCAGTCCTGCAGAGAGGGCTGAGGAGACAGCAGACCTGAGGGCTGTACGCTTCCCCACCAAGAGGCCAGACAAGCTGGTGTCGCTGTGACTTGATCTTCAGCCTGATTTTCCAGCACTTCTGAGAAACTCCAAGGTGATTTCTCAGAACTCCCAAGATAGCTGCTGGGAGGCACATCTTCGGTGACGATGGTGATGGTGACAGCGACAGATAACAAAGGGCCGTGGGAGAGGGCGGGAGCGGGGAGGAGTGGGTGAGTGCTGGGCCGTCAGCACTGACCTGGCTGAGCCCTGAAACTGTCAAAGAGGCAGGGATAGGCTGTCTGGCAGGGTGGGCTCCGGAGCCCTGGTCTGCGTGCCAGCCCGGAGCCCCCTGTGGTGGCTTGGGGCCAGCCGAGGTGGAACACCGGTCCCTTCAGTTGGCTGACAGTTGAGCCCTGGCAGACTTGGAAGTGGGGGGCCTGGGCAGGGAGTGCAGGAGCATTGAGAGATGGCAGGACATGTGCATCAGGGCTGTACTTTGCCCAGCCCCATAGCCCTGCAGAAGGACCCAGAGGAGGAGAGACAGGGGACCCAGATTCCTCACCATCACACCCTTGGCGGCAATAAGCACTTAGTGGCACGGGCACTGCTGTAGGAAAGACCAGACTTAGACACCTCACTTCAGTATCCTCCTCTGCCTTTTCAGAATAACTGAAGAGTGATGGCTAGTCCCTGTGCAGTGCACAACCTGAGTATCAGACCATGGCAGCCCTTTCTTGGACGAAATGGTCCTCATTCTAGGGTTTCTAGGTAGATATCTTGGCTGGGAGACTTCAGGCCTGCTTCAGCAGGTCCTCGTGGTGGGCAAGACTGGCTATGGAGAGCCAATCCTGGGGCTGTGCTGTATGTGATGCTGACACAGTGGCAAGGTGTGTGCCTGCAAGCCCAGAACTCTGGGAGGCTGAGGCAGGAGGATTGCAAGTTTGAGCCCAGCCTGAGCAACTTAGTGACTTAGCAAGGCTCTGTCTCAAAATAAAAAATAAAAAAGGGCTGGGGATGTAGCTCAGTGTGGAGACCCTGGGTTCAGTCCTCAGTGCTGGGGGGAAAAGAAGTCTCCCAATGTCTGCCCCGGGTGGGCGGGCCCTGTCCTTGAATCTGTGTGCCAGTGTGGGCTGGCCTCTGTGTGTGTCCTGCTGTTTGTGCATCCACAGAAGGGTGTGGGGCTGAGCCCCCCACCCCAGCTCCGAAGGACAGAATGGTGATTCACTGCCCCCGCCCACCCTCCCTGGGTCCAGCCAAGGCCAGAGCTCAGGGAGGAGCATTTTTTATTGTTCTGTTTGTGGGGCTGGGAGAGGAGTCAGACGATGAGGACCCAGGGCAGCTTCTGCTGGGGCTCCCTGCTTTGCTCCGTAGGCATCCATCTGGATTCTGTACCCCATCTTCATGCAGCGCTATAGACCCCAAAGTGTTGCTCCTGGGCAAAGGTGGGGCCAGGGAGGGGAGAGCAGAGGGCAGGGGAACACCGGGGGAAGCAGGAGGAGTGGGAATGGTGGGAGTCAAGAAGGCCCAGGCAGCAGCGGGGGAGGAGGAGGAAGTGGGGAAATGCAAACCAAATGTTGGCCCAGGGTACAGTCAAGAAAAACAGACTCTCGCGGGAGCCTGGAGCGGGCTCTCTTTCAGAAGGGCAGGAAGGGCTGGGACAGATGTTTGGAGGAAAGAAAGAAAGAGGAGGGAAAAAAGAAATAGGAAAAAAAAAAAAAAAAAACGGAGCAAAACCCACAGCCTAGGGGCAGAGCCCTGCTTCCGCATCTGGCCCGTTTGTCCTGTGTCAAGGCCTGTCCTGGACTTGGAGGGGCTGTGAGCACCAGGGCTGTGCTAGCTGTGTGTGTGCAAATGGATGTGTGCTCCCGGCAGGAGGGCATGCGTGGTATTGGGGAGTCGGGGAGAGTGCAAGGGATCTTGGGGTGTGCGGGCCGTTGTCCTAGATCTGTCTGTCCATCCACTGTCCATCGATGATGTAGCAGGTTCCAGGGCCTAGACAGTTCTCAGTGCGGAGCAGACTCCAGCCTGTGGGCCGCGGGTCAGAAGGCACAGGGAGGCGCGATGGCTCACAGGGCTTGTGTGTCTGGGAGTGGGGTGGCTTCAGGGACTCTGCCTGAGGTAGCTTTCCCTTTGCCCTGTCCCCTTGACACTCCCACCAAGCTGAGTTTCTGACCCCCTGCGCCACCAGTGGGATGGGAGGGGGAGGAGGAAGGAGGCTGGGACAAGGGGGTGGGGTGGGAGGAGCAGGAGGGAGGAGAGCGGGAGGCCGGCAGGCAGGCGAGGGGCCCGCAGATGCTGGCTGAGTGAGCTGCAGACCGCTCCGTGCTCCCTTCTGCCTGCTCCGTGGGTACCGCAAGCTCTGGGGCGTCCTCTGCAGGCCCTTGCGTGGCCGGAGGGACAGGACCCGCCGAAGATGACGTGGATCTGTCTGTCCTGCATGCTCTGGGTAGGTCCAGCTGCTTTAGCTCCGAAGTCCCCTGCCCCCCATCCCTCATCCAGCAGCTGAGAACCTGGAAGTAGGAGGGGAGTGTTGGGGTTCAGGGGTACTAGAAGGACAGACTGACTTCAGCAGCTCTCAGTCTGGCCTTGGTGCCGGCTCTGGTTCTGGGGGTCAGTACATTCTGCTTCTCCTCCCAGCCCCCCATATTGAGTCCAGGCGCTGTAAGTGGAGAGAAGCCACTGAAAAGTTTCTTTCTTTTCAGAGTCTCTCCTGTTCCCCGTCCTGCACTGGGGGTCACCGTTCTTCTCTCCCCTCTGTGGAGTTTGTGGAGTTTGAGGAGAGGGCAGTGGTTGGGCCTGGGAGAGGGAACCAATCACCTGGAGTGTTGCATCTGGAAAAGCTGGGTTGGAAGGAATTCTCAGATTCCATCACTTTTCTCCCTTCTAGACCCAATTTCAGCTTCTACCCACTTCCCTCCCTTCCTGCACAGCCCCCATCCTTGTAAGAACCTGTGGGCTGCTCTCTTCCCTTTCTCTCTCGGCCCCAGATTCAGGAAGTTGGGGGCTACTGGGGTTGCAGACAGGCCTGGGGTCTGTTTGACGAGAGCTCAGGATTTGAGGCCAGCCATGGCTAGAGTCCTGGGAAGGGGGATGAGAGGGCTGGGGGCCGGGGATGGAGGAGACCTCTGTCCCCCAGGGGCTCCTGCGAGCTCTCTGGGCTGGGCGAAGGCATGCACAGGGGTCAGGAGGGCCAGGAAGTCATCCCTGGCTGAGGTTAATGTCTGCCTCAGAGAGCGATAGCTGCTTTGGGGGAGGGGGCTTTGGGCATGGAATCCAGATGTGGCCTTTCCTGCCCCTGTCCCTCTTCTGGACAGTCCTCGGGAGGGCCCAGGGAAGCCCTGGCTGAGGGCAGTTGTGGGAAAGCAGACTTGGGCGGCCAGGTGGACTTTGGGCAGAGAAGGGCCAGGTGGAGGTGGGGCTGGAATGAGGGTGGCAGGCTGGGCGGCGGGAGGACTGGGTCTGAGGGATGGGTTTGGTGCCCAGAAGACCCCACATGAAAGATGCATCCGGGGTTGGCCGGGCTGAGGTTGACATCTGTCAGTGGAGCTTTGGCCAAACTCCTCTCAGTGCTCAGGGTGGAGGTGGCTATTGAGGGGGCCCTGCAGCAGGAGGAACAGCAGTTAGACCGTCAGGCGTGATGCGCTGCTGTGGAGACAGAGAGGGTTCTGCAGGCCACTGCAGCTGAGAGATTTTGGGAACAGTGCCTCACCCTAGTGAGACTCAGTTTCCCCACGTGTGAACTGAGAATGGCAAAGAAAAGGGACTACAGAGAGGCAGGCAGGAGACTGTCCTGGTGCCCCGGGCAGTGGCAGTGTCTGGCATGTGCAGAGGACCCTCTGGGTGTCACACTTTCTGTGAGGAGTGGTAGAGGGTGCTGGTGACCAGGGCACCTTCTTGGGCTGTGACAGGAGATGCTGCCTTCTTGGGGTTCTTCAAAAGCAGAACAGCCTGCACCCTGTCCTCCCTGCTGTCTCTCCCAGTGCCCCAACCCCTTCCCTGCCTAGGTTGCCTTTGTGCCCCGGCACTGGACAGAGGAAGTGGTCCCAGTGTGTCAGGGCTCTCTTCCCCACCCTCTTATCCGTTATCCCTTGCTCCTTCTGGGTGGGCCTTAGCCCGGCTGGGGTGTGTGTTTGTGGTGGGGATGGAGGGGCTGATGGCATCAATCATGGAGAGGGACCCGGAGGCCCTGGAGACCTCGCTGAGGAAGTGGCTGATACTTGGAGTGGCGCCTGGTGGTGGGAAGTATGTGGACTTTGACACCAACCAGGGCTGGATTCAAGTCCTGATGCCCCCATTTATCAGAAGGAAGTGTTGTGTTTCCTGATCTGTAAAGGGAGGTGAATAATGCACACCTTGAGTGAGGACAGACATATTCCTGGCAAAGGATTGCCACGGCGGCACACAGTAGGTGCTTAGTAAATCCTAATCCTTCCTTACCCCACAACCTCCTTCCTAACGTTGGATCCTGTGTGTCCCAGATCTGATGGGCCAAGGATCTCCCTGGGAAGCGGGTGGTGGGACCGGGACCCAGTGTTCGGACTGCCTCTCTTGACTGTGCAAGGATCCTGCTTAGCTCTTCTAGAACCAAGCACTGGCTGGATCTGCAGCCTCAGGGAGGTAAATCAAGGCATCGAGTGGAGGACAAAGGTCTCGTGCCCAGGGTGAGTGCGTGTGGGTATGTGTGTTCCTGTGTTCTCATTTGGAGACAGCTGCCGCTGTTTTGTCCAAGAAGTAGTGCATCTGTAGGGCATCGTTCTAACAAGCCCTAGGAATAAAAATCACTTTATTAGCTGAGGCGCATAGCTATATATTATGCATAACTTGATTTTCTCATCAAATGCTTCCATTTGCTATTACATAGTCAAGCATGGTTTATTTAGAAAATAATTACACGCCTATTAATTGAAGTGTGTTGGTGTCAAGTGAGTTGAGTCAGAGCTATAGGCCTTCCTTCCAGAGGGCTGTCATCCCTAGGAGCTGCAGAGGGCTCATTAGGGTGGGGTCACCAGAGCCCTGAGGCAGGGAGGGGCTGGGGCCAAGTGTAGCCCTGTGGCCAGGGGCTGGTCCCTTGCTTTTCTGGACCTCACAGAAACTTGGATCCTCTTCTCTAAAGCCACTTCCAGCTGTGGACAATGATGTGTTCTGTTTTCTGGAGCTGGTGTCCTGCCCGGTGCTGAGCACACATTTTTGTCGGAAGGGTCCCCGTGAGCCCTTGGATTCCTTGCTTGCAGCTCTTGCCACGTCGACCCCAGCCTGGCCCCTCTGTTCTCTGATGCTCGATTTCTCTGCTTTTGTCCACCTTGCTGCCTGAGACTAACCAGGGTCTGAGATAAAATCTTCCTTTTGCAAAGTGTTTAAAAAGTGACGGGGAAGCGCCACCCTGGGGAGAAACACTGCTCTATTTTTCCAGGGTTGAGAGGAAGTGTACTGTGCTGGCTGCTAATGCAGTGGAGAGTTCCATTCTGGCATCGCTGATCAGTAGCTGTGTGACCATAGTCAAGCAGCTGCACATCTCTGTGCCTTGGTTTTTCAGCCTATCTCTAGGGTTGCTAGGGCTTTGTTTTGTTTTGTGTTTTTGTAGTGCTGGGCTTCAATCCAACGCCTCAGGCCTGCTCGCTGCTCTGCAGCTAAGCTATGCCTCCAGCCTCCTCGGTAGATTTTAAGCGAGATAACACACATATGTATTTAGCAAAGTGTCCTAAGAGCTCAGTGTCAGCTCTTGTGGAACATTTTTAATGTCACCCAGCACCTGACCTGCTGCCTCCCGACGCGGAGCTTTCCACGCTGGGGATTCTTCAGGACAGGGCATTCAGGGTCAGTGGTAATGGGGTCATAGGAGTGGTGCATGTCTTCTGTAGTGGGCAGAGTGGATGCCAGCCTGCCTGGGTGTAAATCCTGGCCCTGCCACTGATGAGCTGTGGGGTCCTAGCAGGGTCCTCAGCCTGTCTTCTGTGCCTTATCCTTGTGCATTCCCTTGGTCTACACAGTTTTGTTCAGACCTCTCTGCAGTTCTGTGGGACCTCACCATAGGATGGGATGAATAGTCCCCATCTACAGTCTAGGAGAAGGGGACTCAGGGAGCAGAAGTGGCTTGCCTGAAGCCACATGGCCATGGTTTGGTGTTCCTCAAGAGGCCAAAGGTATGGCGGGAGGGGAGGGCATGAGAGCTCCCAGTTGAGGGGGATCGTGATGAGCAGCCCAGGGGTGGAGAATGGCATTGAGAGGCTCTGGAATGAAAGAACCATCCAATTGTTTGTGAGCCAAGCCCCCATTGCACCATGTCATGGTAATTAAGGTGCCTACTTTCTTCAAGCACCTTGCAGGTATTGGTCTAATGATTGCAAGGATGCTTACTTGTTAGTGAGAGGAGGGATCCTATGGGGACATTTAAAGGCACCTAACCTTGACTGAGGGTGAAGTGGAGAGGAGCTGTCAGGAAGAGAGGAGTCTGCCGTGATGACGGAATCCCCAAGTAGCTGAGGACACCCTGGTCAGAGGCCACGCCTAGTGCGGTGGTTGGAGCCCTGAGGCCCTACCTGAGACAGACCTGGATTTGTGTCTTTGCTCCTCTATCTTGCCCTACCCACAGTAGCAAGGGTGAGCGCTCCTGCCTCACCACAGGATGTCATTGTGGGGATTGAAGGAGGGACCCCAGGCCTGCCGCTTACCTTGGCCTCTGAGTCCCCACAGCTCAGTACCCCTCCCCCAGTCTAGTGGCTGTTATGCACCAAGGGCAGGAAAAGCTCAATGCTCAGAAATTTTGGGGATGAAATTATGGAAGGGATGGAGGAGAGAATGAAACTGATGGTGAGAAATCATCCAGCTCAGAAACCAAGCCAGAGTCAGAGCTGAGGGTTCCCAGCTGAACTTGGGCCCCAGAGCCTTGCCTTGGCCTCTGTGGCCTGCAGAGAGGGTCAGGAAATGTCAGGCCTTGCTGGCCACCTTTCTGTGCAGATCTGGGGCTACCTGGATTCCAAGGGTGCTGTCCTCAGCCAGGTGACGTGAGCACCCGCTGTGGCTGTGAAGAAGGTGACCCGAGTTCGCCGTCCCCTGAGAGCAGGTCCGTGGGAGTCGGGTGCAGTTACAACACAGGGAACCCGGGCCAGGACAACGCCACTCAGTTCGTCCTTCAGACTTGTTTGAGACTCAGGCTGTGCTGAGACATGGATGACACGGCAGGAGCATGTGCAGGCATATACCACTTGGTGAGCTGGTCCAGTGCACACAGGAGGAAGGGCAGCGGGAGCCCCAGCTCACTTCTGCTGAGTACTTCCTGTGTGCCAGGCGCAGCTCCAGCTGCTTTGCAGGCCTTATCTCCTCTGCACAGCACCTATGGGTGGCTGCTATTGTTAGCTCATTTAACAGATTAGTAAAGTGAGGCAGGGGGAGGTTAAACAGTTTGCCTGGAGTCACCCCCTAACAGATGGAGAAGTCAGAGTGCACCAA